TGGATATGCTAGGCAGGGGAATGATTTCCTAAGGGAAACCCTGTTATTTCAATCATTTAAACAAAAATGGACAAAGCCCTGGAGAATATATTGTAAGGAACAATCATATGCTGGCCCCCAGGAATGGATAACAGGACCTGATTAGTCTTTTCCTAGTGGTTACTGTGATTCTCTTCAGATTGAGAACTTGTTCTGGGCATGATTTGTCTTGGGACTAGATGTGATGTGAGCCTCAGGTCAGTCCTCTGACTGTTCCAGAGCACAAAGTGGAGAGGAGGAAGGGGAGCAAAGCTGTGCAGGGGCAGTCAGAAACAGAGCACAGGAAAAGGTTGACTCAGAAGTGCTACAGGGCTTTGTGCAGTCAGGTATCTCCATGCTAAAGATAAAAAACACACTCTGGTCTGGATGAAGAGGTTCTACACTGAGCTGGTGCTGTGCAGGCTCTAGAAAACCTGATAATTTGGTATGGCCACAAAGCTCCCAGGATGGGTGAACCCCAAGAGTCATGATCAACTTGCTTGTCCTTGGACTTCAGAGGTTTGTTTTTCTTGCTGTTGCAAGGATCCAGCTTGCTGGCTGGTGTGTCTTGCTGCATCCCTGTGATGCACATGTGCTCTCCCGGCCGGGTGCCATTCCGGGCTGCCAGTCTAAGGCTGCTGATCTCTTCAGAAAGGTAGGTAGCTTAGCTGCAGTCCAGGGAACTGTCAGCTACTGCCCAGCTGGAAATCCAAACCAGCTGCTGTTGGTTTGGGGAGGGGTTGAGAAACGGTATACCAGAAACATCTCCTCCTAGAGGTGGAGAGGATCCTCTCCCCTCTTCCCAGCCCCCTTTCTGAAGCAGAGGGAATCACAGAGATGAATATAGACAATGTCATGTGTGGACAAAACTGACTGGCAGGTGTTGGCATCTGTGATTGCCTGGGTGGGTGGTACACCAGGTGGCATTTACCTGGGATGCTCTGTCAGCTTACTCAAAAAGATTGCCAGGGATTGCAGACCTCTCTTGTCTCAGCCTTGAGCTCAACAAGAGGAGGTTTGAGATCATCAGGTCTTGTGTGTCATGCAGATGAGCAGGAAGATGATCGGTAGTTTCATGTGGCCATTCAAAAATTGCCACTCTCTTACTGACCTCTTTTAGTAAAACCCCTTATGGTGTAAATTTTACACAGGAAAAAGTGGAAAAGGTTCACATGAAAAGGAGAAAAAAAAATCCAAACAAAGAAATGCAGAACTCTCAGATATTTTGCCTTTTTAAAGCAAGATTTTCCAAGTTTTGTCTTTTGCTAGAAACAAGTAGTTTCTTGAGCAGCAGCAGTCAAGCCTAGTTTCCTCTGAACTCCAAAACATCCACCAGTTCTTTTGAATCCCATCTGCATCCTCACCTCAGAGGCAGATAGGTATTGCATCACAGGCTGTCTTAAAAGGTGATGGATCTTATTCCTGCAGTTCTCTCCCTTGCCCCTGTCTCACCCCACCTTGCATGACCCCCAGTTCCTGCTTCTCTCCTGCAGCTGGCCAGAGAAAGGGCTGGTCACGTTGTAGCTGAGTCTGTACTACCTGTGTGGGTTCATTTTTGGCCTTTTTATGTGTATCCCTGATTCACCAGATGGCAGGCCCAGTAGAACAGATTACTATCAAGTTCATGTTACAGCTTCTCCTAAGTGGTGGAAATTGGTGAGCAGCTTCAAAGATACTGGGGGGGAAAGACAGATGGGCAGAGATACAGATAGAGGTGGCTCATCTTTATCAAGAAAAGAGAATAAAGCCAGAACTGACTATAAGAAGGAAAGTTTCTTGTGTTTACACCTGTGAACCTGTTCCTTCGTGCAGTAACCCAGTGGGTAACTCAGAGGGCCAAAGGTTGTGCCAAATCTCTGCTTCCCTGTTAGGCAGAGGCAATCTCTCTCAAAACAAGGGAGCTGTGTCCCATTGGGGTGTAGGTTCAGGAGGAATAGAAGGCCTTTTCTAGGGGAAGCAGAGAAGCCCCCATGTCTCTCCAGCTGTGGAGGAGATGGAAGCTGCTTGGGGACACACCTATGATGGGATGTGACTGAATGAGCAGCACTTCCAGCTACTCTGCCCCAATGAACTGAATAGATCTGTTCCCCTGCTGTCACAGGTAGGCATCCAACAGGGCAGATGTCAGACTGTCCCATGTAGATGCTGGTGGTGGAGTCTAGGCAGGGAAGGAGGAAAAAAACCTATCTGAGCAGTCTGAGAACCTCTGAAACAGTTCTCCCACATGTCCTGTGGAGGTGACCTTATTGAGAGCCTTACAGTGACTGGGACACGTTATAAGCCTTGACCCTCTTAAGAACCTGAAGGACGTCTCCTCAAGAGAGGCAACTTCTTGCAGAGAATGCCTGCCTATAGTGCTTGTGCAGATGAAACCAGCTAAACCTGGAGTCCTACCTTGAATCAGAAGTGGGCACAGCAGTGCACGGCTGTTTCACCAAATTCCTGCCTTTGGACTTTTGTAATTTAGTGTGAGGGGAAAATATCTTCTCAAGCTATATCTGCAAGAGTCAGAAGTGGGCATGGCAGTGCACAGCTGTTTCACTAAATTCCTGCCTTTGGACTTTTGTAATTTAAAGTAGTGTGAGAGGAAGATATCTTCCCAAGCTATACCTGCAAGAGGACTACCCAGGAGGCTGTCACAGCCGTTTGCCTCAGTTCTGGCTCCATCATGGCTGTGTCTTAAGCAGTTGCCCCAGCACACTTGGCATAGTACTTCTCCTGTGGTTGCATTTTTCAGTGGGACATGGCTTAGCAAAGTCTGGTAATGGTCAGAGGACAGAATTTATGGGCAATGCAAAAGCGTTCACCATGCTGGTGTTTACTGGAACTTGGTGTGGCTGTAAGAGAAGCTACAGGAAAACAATTGCTATCAGTAATTCTCCAGAGTGGGAGGGTTTAGGTTTCTTAGGGCAGGAGGCAATGTGTGCTGCAGACCAGACCAATGGAGGTTTGCTGACAGTTTGCTGATAGGCTGTAGGTTCAGTTGTGCCTGGTGAGCTTACAAAAACCACTGCTCCAGGAGCAATTTCTGAGACTACAGCAGTTGACTGTTCTGGGTCAAGATGCGCATGGGTCAGGGATCTCTCATGCCTGCAAGGTGGGCTTTGGTTGCACCTTCACCTGACAGTCACAGAGAGAAACCTTTTCTTCTCCTCATCTTGCTGCCCACTGCTTGTGTGTCTGCTCAGAACTACTTTTGAAGCTGTTTTCCATGAACATCTTCAAAGTTTGGTTCCGAGACCAAGAAGAGACTTCTGTGCTTGTGATGGGGAGAGTAAAGTGAGGGAAGCCTGCTGCATCCCAGCTGCCCAGGACAGGGCTTCTGCAGGTCTTGGTACAATGCAGAGTGATGAGTGTGATTTCCAAGGGGGCATGGCCTTACTTCTGCTGTCAAGACATGGAAGCAGTCGTACAGCAGCAAGGGTGAGAGGCTGTGCCAAGTTTCTGGAGGAGTTTTGGATTTGAGGTTGCACCTGGGGGTTGGAACATCCTTCCTTCTCTTGCACAATGTCCATGTCTTGACAACACAGGATGACAGTGTCCCATGTTGCTGTGTGCTCCTGCAGGGAGCTGTGCCACGATTTGACCTCACATTAGAGTCTGTCTTTTGAGCATGGAAGTGGGGGATGCCTTTGCCTTTGAGGATGGAAGGGGAAGCTGTGCAAAGTCAGAGGGATTGTTTGGTTGATGCGTTGCAATGAGATTGACTAACAAGGGAATGAAAGAAAAAGGGGGTTCTGGAGGGGCTTGGGGAGAAAGGCAGCAGGATTTGGGGAGAGAAGAGGGAGCAGTCAGTGGTGCTCTGTGCCAGGAGGCTGGTGTAGTTACACAGCAGCTTCCATCCAGGTACAGCAGCATCCATCATGTGATTTCCTCACAGGAGGATGCCTTTGTCCTGGTAAATGAGTTACTACCACTTACCCAGATGAACTGTCTCCCTGATCCCCACTGAAACCTCTTCCATCTGCACTCTGAAGGCCGCTTTGTTTCTCCTCCCTGCTGAAAGCAAATCCAGCAGAGAGCCAGCCTTTTCTTTGTGGCAGCTTCTCTGACGTAGGTGAACCTCTGAAGTGACGTGTGTGACATCAGGAAGATGTTTTAATTGGAATTATGCTTGCCCATGTGAGTAACAGCTGTCCTTACCCTCGTTTCCTTAGCTCACGGCCAGGGCTGCTGCCAGCGTGGGTATGAGAGGTTTGAGTCACAGGGATGGAGTAGCTGATTTCTTTCTGGAGGCTGTTGTCAGAGATGACCAGGCCCAAATGTCCATCACAGGGATGAATGATGTGCAGATGAATGAGGGGAGACACCTACTCCTGAGACAAATAGAGCATCCCTCATGAATTAAGCAGAGGATTGCTTTGAGATTCAAGACATTTAAAACCTGTTGTACATAGAATGTGAATGTGGCTGAGCTGCTCTGCAGCTACACACTGGCCTGAATGCAACCTATAAATAACTGACCACTGCCGCATTTCATTCTTATCTTTTTAACACTGACCATTTATTTGCCCTGGTACCAACGAATATCTAATGCAAAACCTCTCCCAATCTCTGACTGAGCCTGATGGAGAAAAACACCCTTTGCTTTGCACCACACAGGCTCCATCTGTGCTGCTAAGTAGAGCAGGATCTGTGTTTTGTAAGCATGGACGTGCTTAGCTGAAGGGGTCCCTGGCCAGTGTTAACCTCTGTGTGTGGACCAGGCATGGACATTGCCTGGGACAGTGCTGCTGGTCCAGGGTAAAGCCATGATGGGAACTCTGTTAATGCTTTAAGAGTGTAGACAGTCATGGGTTGGTGGTGGAATCCATCCTTTGTCCTAGTTTAGTTTGCAATAGTAGATCTTGCAGATGCAACAGACTGAAAGTATTCAGGATTTTTTTCCCCATAATGTTTTATTTTTTGTTCTGGGTTTACACTGGGCAGTCTGCATCACTGCAGTAGCATGGAATTGTTTATTGAGACCCTTTTTGCCCCAGAAGCAGAGTGTTCTTCAAGAGAATTTGTGCTGGAGGACAAGACAGATGTTATGTGCCTGGAGCTGAGCGTGGTGAAAGATGACTGGTACAGGTCAGTCCACATGAGGCTCTGCAGTGCCAGAGGTACTTGCTTGGGGCTGAATGCAGGTACAGTGTTTCTGATGATAAAATGCCTATAAAATCAGGAGTGACACAAAGAAGGGTAATAGGGAATGGCTGCTCCTGGTCTCTTCCAGAGAGTTGGGGACATCAGATAATAGTAATGAGAGACAAGTAAAGAAGCAATGGTGATTTCTTTAAAGAACATATTGTTGATCTATGGATCTTCTTGCCACAGGCTGTTGCAGGAGCTAAAGGCTTATACACATTCAAGGGACAGTTCCCAGGCTCATGAAAGAGAAATCCATTGTGTGTTACTGAAACCAGTGAAACCATATCTGGCTTAGGAGATCCCTGAGCTCCAGATGATGAAGCTGAGTACGTGGATACTTGGGGGAAATGTCACATGTCACTCTACTATTCCTCTTCTTCTTCCTCAGCCATCTGCTTGTAGCTGCTGTTGGATTCAGGGTGGCTGTGCACTGTGTTCCTCTGAGTGCTGTGGTTGTGGCCTGGTAGCCCAGCACAACACCTTTAGAGGCAAGAGAAGACTATTTGGCTTGTCTTCATGAATGGACCTTGCATAGATCATGTTGAGTTTCCCTCTGTGTCTCATCTGAAAGGTGCTGAGGAAAAAATAATCTTGGCAGGAGGTTGAGTGGGTTTTTCCCAGACTGTCATAGCTACACTCTGGTAAATAAGAAAATATTTTCTAGAAAATTTTTCTAGAAATACATATAGATGCATATGGTCTTTAAGAGTTTTCCACCAGAGAATGGACAAAGCCTGGAAAAATCAAAGTCAGGGAAGACCTCCACAGAATACTCACTTGGTGGAGTCCTTACAGTCTGACACTTTGCCTCCCTTGCCTACACCTTCCTGCAGTTCTGCTTGATGTCTGTAGCCCAGCCCTTCCAGAAATGGGAGGAGACAGCTTTTTGTCTGGACACTGGTGCCCCACAGTCCAGAATTGGAGTAACACTCTGAGAAGTGACATTTCTTCATGTCTAAATATTCTTGGGACCAAACCAGGTGAGTTTTGTCTTGAAAGCCTAAGCAGCTGGGAGGGATTTTGAAAGAGAGAGGATACTGATGACATCACTTCCAATCAAGGTGAAAGTTATTTAGACTGTCCTTGATCATTCAAATTTAATCCCATTAAATATCAGACCAAGCTGCCTGCTGTGGTCACGTTGCTGTGTGGCAGCTGCATGGGACATCAGCAGACTGGTTAGGACACTTGGGTAGCACAGGCAGTATTTACCTAGGTGTGCTCCAGTGTACAGCTCCTCCTGTACCTTTCTCACTGTTACCTCAGCCCCATGGCTTCTTAGGGGATCCATTGACTATACCTGATTTTAAGATCTTCTACTTGATCTTTCTTCATCACAGAAAAGTGATAAATACCAATGTCATGTTTAACCTGTTGTCTTTAAATCTTATCTTTCTTAAGGTTTCCATGGAACCACCTCTTTATACTCTGCTAAAAAGCTGTGGCATTCTTGTAGAGGATGTTAGGCTGAGTTTTGGTGTCTGAAATCTGCTACCAAAGGAGTTGCTTCTGCCTTTACTTGGCACAAGTAAAACCCAACTACTTGGGAGCCTGACCCTGTGCACTCTGGAGGGCTGTTTCTCAGCATTAATGATCATCTGTGCCCCTCTTCCTCCAGCACTCACTGACCACCTCATTTTTCTCAGAGGCAGTCTCTGGTGTTAAGAAGACAGTGGTTTGTTTTGAATTTGAGTGAATTCCAGAGAACATGCACTGCTGGGTTTTGTTTTTCATGCATTGCTGGATAGATTCTGTAATGCTAAAGTAATGGAGAGTTAAATCTTTCTGTGGTGCATTTTGAAACCACTCATTTCAGAGTGCTGAAGGCAATGACTAAGGTGCCTGTTCCTTAAAGCCGTGTTCTGCTGGAGAAATATATGTCTCTGATCCCCTATACATGACTCTATTTGTAAAGTCTTATGCCAGCTTCATGAATAAAGTCCTTTCTTTACCCCAGCGTTGTGGTGGAAACACAGGAGAAGACATTTATCTGATACTGTGGAAAGTGACTATGACACAGGGCAGAAGAGAAACAGAGAATTTCTGGATATTTCTGTGAATTGGAGAGAAATTATAGCTTGCCAGTGTCTGTGCTCTCCTGTCTGTAGAACAAGGATATGGATAGATTCCTATCCTATGGGAGAGCTGGGAGTCCCAAGTTAATTACAAAGTCTGTGACAAATCTTAGAAATTCAATAGTGAGACAGCGTGTAAGTTTATAATATTAACGGGTTTTAATGTCCCTAAACTGTCTCTGTGGGTATCTTTAGTGAGAGGGATATAGTGATATCAAAAGAAATCTTTTTTTTCACCCCAGCCATTTTCTTTAGAACCCAAAGTGAAAGCTGTTTCCACCAACTGCCATCTCTGCAGCCATCTGGAAAATCACATTTTCTGAAGCTTTCCTTCTCTTTATCAGCTGTAACTAAAGCTATAAAATGGGAAGATATCCCTGGTTTAATTAACACCCCTGTAGTTCAAAAGCTGATCTTAGTAATGAGAGGCAATTATAGCCCTTATTGAGGGACAGTCAGGTGGAACAAACCTAGCATCAATCTATTGAAGATGTTTCCCTTTCCAGGTAATTTGGGAACTACTTTTGATGATGAACAGGCTACCTGGCACAGTACAACAGGTGACTCTCTTTGTAACCTAAAAAGAGCTTCCTATTTTGAGTTTTCTTCTTCTTCTGTAATTGGGATTTTACATCTCATCTATCTGCCGATAACTAACAACAGAGCCAAGGAAATACCTGTTGCTTTTTGAAGGGCATTCTTGACGTTCTCCTCATTTTATTTTCCTTGTCCACTGCTGTGCTTCATTTTGAAGGTTGCCTGGTGCTTGTATTTTGTTTTAGCAGATCTGCAGACTTCGTGGTGCACTCACGTCCTGAGGGCTATGCAGAGTTCTGGTTTGTGCACCTCAAAAATGATGTGGTAGCAGTAGAGAAGCTCCAGAGAAGGACTCTGAAATGATCAAGGGAATCTATGTGAGCTAAAAAGGCTGTGTTCCAGTTCAGACAGAAGAAACCTGAGAGCAAAGATAAAGCTGAGCTTAGCTGAAGTGATGAAGGTGGTAGATAAGGCAGATGAAGAATTTTAATGCTAGAGCTAAGGGGTACTGGCTGAAACAAGGGGATGTGCTTGAGATGAAGTACTGTTTTACACAGCAGATAGTGAACTTGTGGAGTTTCTTACCACAGGAGATGGAGGAGGTGGAGAGTGTCAACAGTTTCAAAAAAAGCATTAGACAGATTCAGAGCAGCAAGTGCATGACATGAGTCTAAAGGTGACGGGCAGGGCTGAGGCAGTAACAGGGGAATGGTCTGCAGAGGATGGCCATGCTCTTCTGGTCTGCCTCAGTAGCATCTCAGGTGCTGTCTGATCTGTAAGAGCTTGGGTCTGCTGTATGCCCTGTGTGTCATCTGCCAGCCTTCTCTAGATACCCTTCTATCTTGGGGGTCTCAAAAGATGCTAGATGCCCCTTTCTGGGAAGCTGATTTAAACCCTTGGTGTCTACAGTGCAGGTACCTGCCCTGGAGCTAGTCACTGGAGGTGGAGCTCTACTCAGGATTCAGATGCCTGCATTTGGCTGTTTGCATGTAGATGTCTACCTGTGCAGTAGGTGTCTGAATTCTTCTGCGGTCCACAGAGGTCTAGTCAGTCTGATGGGACCTAATGAATACAGTCAGTAGAACAGCCAGTCCTGTCACTTCCTCTTGACATAAGGTAGACATGGGACAGTCAGTTAAATAACTCTACTGCCTGTTATCATTAAACCTTGGTTGACTATAATGGGAGTTTGGATGACTAGCAGATATGTAGATACCAAAATTTAGGTACGTTAAGCTTGAACTCTGTTCTGTTCCAAGATCTCTACTGTAGTGACTGTAGAGAAATAGGTGTCTCCTGAGAATAATTTATTGACCTGCATTAGACAACTAGGCATAGAGGAGAGGAGGTGCACTTGTGAAGTGCATATTATTATCCAGTGACTTTAAGGGGTGTCTAGATAGTGATACCCACATGGACAGTGCACACCGTGGTTGGGTCAGTCCCAGCCATCCCATTTTGGAGACTTTGGTAGCATCACTTAGAATCTGAGTGTAAGAGATGTAGATTTTTAAAGCATTGTGATGTCAAAAAAATGAAATTATAATTTCAAAACAGTGTGTGTTTGTGTGCGTCCCCTTTATGGTTTGATTTAGAATAAAGTCTTAGCCATGATTTTATCGGCTGTAAACTATGCAGTGAAACGTGCTACATCCTCTGTCCTGGATTGTTTTAATGTCCTGGTGAAACTGCCTTGGCCAGACTAGCTGTAAAAGCTGTAAAACTATAAAACAAGCTGGTAAGTTGTTTATTCTTCAATAATTAAAGGTAGAGCAAGCATTAAATCCCTAAAGTCCTGTGGTGTTCCAGCAGTGAGTGGCTTTCACAGGGGGTCTGGAAGAAAGGTTTGTTCAGTGTGAGTTTGAAAAGGAATTTCTTTGGTTGGTGGGTCTGTGGGTGTTTTTAACCCCTTGCTGCTATCGGACACAGAATTTGGATGCTATCAGTGTACTCTGGTTCTGGGACATCACAACACCAACTCCTCTCAAAAATACTGTGGGAAAAGTCCACCTGTTTCCAAAGTTTTCACTATTGCGTGGGCTGCTGGGTGGTTGGGGAATTTCTTGAGTAGATAAACATGATATGATGTTGATTGCCCACTCTTCCATCATTCCCACTCCTGTGTACACAACATTGTTGTTCTGTGGATGCTATCAGTGTACTCTGGTTCTGGGACATCACAACACCAACTCCTCTCAAAAATACTGTGGAAAAGTCCACCTATTTCCAAAGTTTCCACTATTGCGTGGGCTGCCAGGTGGATGTGGAATTTCTTGAGTAAATAAATGCGATATGATCTTGATTGCCCATTCTTCCATCATTCCCACTCCTGTGTGTACAACGTTGTTCTGTCTTATTTCCTCCAGATCCAGGAGGTGGGAGGATGGTGTGACTGCAGCGTTCCTGTGGGTTGTGTCTGGCTGCGGCATCGGGGCCTCTGCGATTCACGTGGCTGGCGCGAGGGGCGAGCCGTGCTCCTCACCTGCCCTGCTGACTGTCCTGTCTTTTCCTCTCCCAGGTTACGGCCACGCTGCCCCGGGGACGGATGCAGGGAAGGCCTTTTGCATGTTCTATGCGGTCCTGGGGATCCCGCTGACACTCGTCATGTTCCAGAGCTTGGGCGAGCGCATGAACACCTTCGTCAAGTACCTCTTGAAGCGCATCAAAAAGTGCTGTGGGATGAGGAGCACCGAGGTCTCCATGGAAAACATGGTCACCGTGGGTTTCTTCTCCTGCATGGGGACACTCTGCATTGGAGCAGCAGCCTTTTCCCAGTACGAGGAATGGAGCTTTTTCCACGCTTACTATTACTGCTTTATAACGTTGACTACGATAGGGTTTGGAGACTATGTGGCCCTGCAGACCAAAGGGGCCCTTCAAAAGAAGCCTCTCTACGTGGCTTTTAGCTTTATGTACATTCTAGTGGGGTTGACAGTCATCGGGGCATTTCTAAATCTGGTTGTTCTCAGGTTCTTGACCATGAACAGCGAGGACGAGAGGCGGGACGCGGAGGAGCGGGCGTCCCTGGCGGGGAACCGCAACAGCATGATCATCCACATCCAAGAGGACTCCCAGCACGGGCGGCCGCGCTACAAGGCCGAGGTGACAGACCTCCAGTCCGTCTGTTCCTGCATGTGTTACAGGTCCCACGAGTACACCAGCCGGGTGGTGTCCCACCAAAATTCGTTCAGCTCGAAGCTGAACCCTCAGTACTTTCACTCCATCTCTTACAAGATAGAGGAGATCTCGCCAAGCACATTAAAAAACAGCCTTTTCCCATCTCCTGTCAGCTCCATCTCACCTGGGTTGCACAGCTTTACAGATAACCACAGGCTGATGAAAAGGCGAAAGTCCATTTAAAGGGATTTGTCTTCTTTTTGCTTTCCTTGTTTTTCCCAGTTCTTCTCCGTCGGTTTGGGTTTTTTGTTCCTTGAGGTAGACAGAGCGAGGCCAAAGGGAGTAGAGAAAGCCAGTCCTCCTCTGAGACTCAGCTCTTGAGCATGAAGCATGGATTATTCCTGTTCCAGCAAAGTATGCCTTACATTACCCCCTCGGTGGATGTCAGAGGGTTCAAGGTGACGTGAAGTGGGTACCAAATCCAAAGTTGCACACACAGCTGGGAGCCTTCATGTGCCACTGGCACTCCTGACCTAACAAACTCTTTTCCTCGAGCAGGTTGCAGCGTGGGTGCTCGTGTGCGTGGTGAGCGTGCGTGTGCGTGTGCGGGGCCACAGCCAGCGCCGGGCCACAAAAATCAAAGCATCAGGTATTCTTTCTTTCCTTTCCCCTGAGGCAATTGCCTTCCAGCCTGCTTTGAACTTCTAGATGGCTTCCAAAAGGAACGGGGAGGGTGGGAGGGCAGCCACTTTGGTTTGGGTTTTTCTTTGCCGAGGCAAGCATGCGCCACAAGCAATCAATATACCCGGGTGTATCATGGCAAATTTTTTTAATGCTAGGTTTTAGATCGTATTAACATCTACAAAAGGCAGGAAAAGATGGATCATTTTAGCTTGCCAGTTCAAAATTTAATTAAAAAAAAAAAATAAAAAAAATAAAGCATGCACTTTGTAAAACTGGTATGCATAATAAACAACACACGAGGAAAAACTAGCAACGGAATTAATAATCAAAAGCAAATAATCCTATTGTTTTAACTACATTTACTTTTTATCATTTTCAACTCTTCCAACAATTTGCAAGTGGAATTTTTAAGAGAAATTGGGAGAATTGTTGGAACTAAAGAGTGTATTTTGTTGTTTTTATTTTATTTATAAAAT